CCTAGCAGACAGCCATCTTCATAGTCGTTGCCGTGAGAACCTCACATCTCACTTAAGTCTCACTCGTTTTCAGGGTATACAGATTTTAAATTGGATTATTTTAGACCACCGTGTGACTATATTAATAGAGTCTTTGACTTTTGGATGTTCTTCACTCTCTAGCATGGGACCGTGGTGCTCAACATACGTGACCTGGGGTCATTTGTATGGGAATACCCGACCTCCATTATTGGTCATTGTTCCTACGGGGGTACTCAACAACGAGCTACGTGTGGAATGAGTCTGTATTCCACAGAACACGCCTTTCAAATCTTGTTTCGTATCTCCGAACAGCTGAGACACTGTACTACTTAATCTGTTTTGAGATTCATGTAATCACCCAAAAAATGCTGATTTTATACGCACCTAAAATTAATTTCCGCTTTCAGAGAAAACCGCCTTGGACCCTGAAGTAGTTAACACACCATTTCAAGTACTTACACTCTGTGTCTCTAAGGTACATTATTTATCTGAGCTCACGACACCGAAGTAAGTTTTCTCATGAGTGTTTCCAGACACGTTTTATTTTATTTTGTTATTTCTCTGTGCGTGCTAAATATTAATAAAATAACACCTCACCTTCTGTGCTGTTAAACTGCTCTGCCAGTCTGCAGTTAATATGTTCATTTGTCGTAAAACACACCACAACCCCTTCGACTGGTACGTTCGAATGTTTCTGAAGAGTATGGACAGGACTGACTTAGGAAATAAACAACACAATAGACATCTCATCTGGAATTTGTACCATGATCGTTGGCCTTGTCTTGGATTAGTCATCCGAGAATGAGAAGTGTCTTCAGTTTTGTATTACAGCCTCTTTATGATGATGTTGTGTACAACAGAAATTGACTGTCGTTTCAGATCTAATAACTAATTCCACGGAGTAGATCTTCTTCTTCTATGGCTCTCCGGTCCATGGCCTCCTCAATTCTCCTCTTCCATTCAGTCCTCTGTTAGGTCCGTCTGTCCGAGGCTTTGATCGACGTTTCGAAACATCTTCCTTTTTACGGTGCAAAGTTGTTAGCCTTGCGACCAACCCCCAACCTGGAGGACCAGGGTACCTCTCCCCCTCGACCAATCTGGCTAGGGAGGCCCTACCAGTAGCTCTTGGGATCACTGAGGTACTCAAGCCCCATCACTACGACAAGGTGTATGTACCATTAGGTGGGGTCCACGGAGTAGATACCTGGTCAAAAATTCCTCTTCTTGTAAGGAATTTGAAAGTTGATCACTGTGTTCATAAGTGCCCACCACGGGACCCTGTCCTGGATAAGTTTAATTCAGTCTACACCTTTAAACCTGTTTCCTCAAGAAACGTTTTAATATTATCCTCCCACCAGGTCTTCCAATTCTTTTCGTCAGATATTCCGACGAAAGTTCTTTTGGTTGGCATAATATGCGCACAATTTTTTATTTTTTTTTTAAATCTGTTTCTATTCAAGAATTTTTCAGTGGGTAGCCATAGCAATCACATTTTAATAAGCAATAAGATATTCTGAGTGGAGCTTATGATTCTTCTATAGATTGTGGTATTCTGTCTAGTCTCGTAGTTAGTTACCAGCGTTTCGGAGGAACGTATTACCTCTTCAGGATAAGAAGCATATCGCGGCGTAAACGTTAAGAGCACAATCGATATTTGCTATGCTGTGAGATCCTCAGGCGTCTTCTACTCGCTGTATCAAAGAATCTCTCAAAATTTAGACGTTTGCGTAGAACGAAACGATTTAGCGGCCTGTGTTTTAGTCGAAGTATTTGTGATGTCTTCCACCTAAAACATTTGTGGACTCCTGAGAAAATAATCAAGCTAGGAATTCCACCGTCGAAAATTTCGCGAAGTGACATCGTTCACGTCACACACCGTTCCGTCATTAACTTTATCCGCAGACCGAAACGTCGTTAATAATTTAAACATTTATGACGATGACGGTGTATAATATGGAGCAAATTTGTTGCTTTTCTAATACGTCATCATCACAAAACCTCCAGCTTTAGATTTTTTGTAATATGACAAAAACGGAACTTCGGAAATTTTTTATAATTGTGAAAATAGCACGCAAGACAAGGAAACAAAATGTTGACGGGAAAATCCGAAAATAAAATGCCTAAGCGTAGATTAGGGGATAATATTAAAATGTATCTTAAAGAAATAGGCTGTAAGGGTGTGAATTGAATTTATCTGACTCAGGATATGGTTCAAAAGCGGGCTGTGGGCTATTGTGAATACGGTAATTAATATTATGGTTCCACGAAGGTGAGTAATTCCTTGTCCAGTCGAACAACTATTAGTTTCTGAAGAACTTTGGACTGTGGAATTAATTTCTTAGAACTATGAAATTATCTGATATATTATACTTACATATATACCATATTATCATTAACCAGTCTCTAGACTAGATCTGTCTTCTCTTCATTATTTTGTCGTAACACCACAAACACTGGTGAAAATTTTTCCTTGTACTTTTCGCAGAATTGTCTCACAAGTTTTTGCCTTTTTTTTTCAATTCGTGGTTAACCTGCTGGTGGTTAAGAAACGTTACTTGGAACCATTTCTAAGTAATATTACGCTCATTACCACTCACTGCTGACACAGTACTGAGACTCCATTTTCTACTAAAGAAATCTTTCTGCAGCGTTGTTTGTGATCTTCGTGTTATCTCGTGTTCCAGATACAGAGTGGACTTTTATTTCCCGAGGGTCAAAGTGTATATTTTTAAGGGTCACTAGAGATTACAGATGCTCGTATAGAAATTGTAACTAATAAAAAACCCGTTTAAATTGAACGTGGATTAATGTCTGTCACATCTCCACCTTTCCTCATTCGTAATATCCGTTTATTTCGTTCTTTTAGGAAAGATGAATGAATGAATGATGGATAGGAAGGAAATTCTGAACATTGCGGTCATATCCTGTTCCAAATAAAAAGATATTACCGTTGTGTTAACCTGCTCGATCCTGGCTGCACTGTAAATTATTCTAAGAATATTTTCTAATGTGAGTGTTCAAGGTTATGAATAATTTCCGCTGTTTCACGGCGATAACGCCTAAAAAAACACGCTGCATTTAAAAAAAAGACTTGTAATAATTAGTTTAATTGTGTGGAGTGCAGTTCTTGTCGAGGGGCTGATAGTCACTCAGTTTGGCAAAAATACCCCGACTTCTAAGAAACCCAAAGGTTCGTTATTGTGTTCACAAGAGTAAGGTGAATTGCGTTTAGAAATTCACACATAAATTCTCGAAGACCTCGTCCAAGTGTGACATTTCATAACATGCAACCCCAACGACCGAGTTAGAGGACCCCCCCTTGTCAGCTGTTCGCAACTTCTTAATTAGTACATATATTTATTCTTCAAGTCTATACACAAACTATTTTAATATTGATGTTAAAAATTAAAATTGATATAAATATTTCGCGCTATTCATCGTTTACTCGATGTTACAATCTGCGCTATATATTACAACATGTTTCGATGTCTCAGCATCATCTTCAGGTTTTATTTTTAAAACAATTCTATATTTTTTAATGCACGCTTTTCAGTATTTGTAAATAAAAATAAAACCTGAAGATGATGCTGAGACATCGAAACATGTTGTAATATATAGCGCAGATTGTAACATCGAGTAAACGATGAATAGCGCGAAATATTTATATCAATTTTAATTTTTAACATTAATATTAAAATAGTTTGTGTATAGACTTGAAGAATAAATATATGTATGAATTGAAAACACAAACATGACGCATCTAAACTATAAATTCTTAATTAGATATTTCGCACTTCTACTCCATTTGCAAACTGAGGACGTGCTGTTTCGCAATGACTGGAGGATACTCTTATCAATGAAGTATTTAGTGCCTTCAGAAACTCTTGTATCAAGTGCGTCGTGTTATTTATGCCATCGGACTGATTTATAAAAATTAAAGCATGGACTTTAACTTAAACTCTGAATGTTTATAAATGAATCTACCAGTAACTACAGTAATGAAATTCCAATTACATGCAGTCAGTAATATGTTTGGTTACGAGCTTGTCGGAAAAAGACAAGGAATTTCAATATAGAAGTTTTAATACGATAAATTGTGGCAGTGATTGAATAAATCCTGAACGAAATAGAATTAAATCGGGGAAACTAATCTGACGAATCAGATGACATAGTTATTGATACAGAAATGATTCCATGGTTTATTGATTACAAATGCTCCCATTAAAAGTAGTCTGTTTGCTTGAAGTCCTTATAACATTTTAAATAAATCACGTTTTTAACTATAAAACAGCATAGAGCCATTGATTTGAGAAGTGGAACCGACCGTCACCATATCTCAAACCAATTTCTCTGCGCAGCGAATTTATCGCCATGATGATGGAGCCGATAATCTGAAACGTCGGTGAAGTTTTTACCAGTCTACACAGCGCAACATCCCACAAGTATAGTAGGAATTTAGGCAATTGGGAACGGAAATTGTTATCGTGTCTTCATTAGACTTGAAATAAAATAGTAAATTTAGAAGAAATCGTTGTCTGTAGGCCAACTGCTGAGATGGAGTTTGGAGAATCGGAATTACTCTTTCGTGTGAGGAGTTGGTAACCCTTGAAGATGTTATTGCTTGTCAGTGACGATTAGGCAATGTGCCTGCCCTTGATCAAAGGTTTTCAGATTCTGTGAAATCTGATTTGAGAGCGTCTTAACGCGTGTGACCGAGAGTGCGTAAAGGCCGGGACACATTAACACAGCCGTAAACCACAGTCAACGCATCAGCTCCGAATAAACCGCTATCATTTCTCCAGTAATCTTATTCATAATCCTGCAAAAGTATTTAATAGATTCTCGGTAAACATTATTTTTTTATTTTATACAGCATCGTGATACTGAAATGACCGTCTTGATTGCTTGAAGATGATGTTCTGGACTGTGACTGCAGATACAAACTTTTAATGAAGAACATAGTGTCTCAATCTTCAGGGCTGAAAGTGGCGATGGACAATCAGCATTGCCAACATGGCATCTGAAGATCCAACCAAAAACTTATTTATTCAGAATAATCTACAGCAGAGTTTAAAATGCCAGGTAACAGGCCGACGAAGACAAGATGCAACCTCCCAGAAGACAATCATCTTAATGGTTCATCCGGAATTCAGGAGTCGAGAACCGACCTGAATCCTTATTATATCTTACATGAGTGACAATTGAGAACTACCACCACAGAAATACTCTGAAATATTTCTGGCATTTACAGTTTATGTATATTATTTTCCGAACTGTTTATTCGCACAGCTACAGTCCACAACTAAGCTCATTTCATCTGAAGTTTAAATCTCAATCTGGAATCAAATAAACTTAGAACAGATCATATTAAACACCACTAAGAGAAATTACTATAATAGTAATAGCATAAGACAACTATAGTATGGTTATAAATATTTGTTGGTGGCTGAGATTATCCGCACAATTGTTTTTGTTGTTTGTAATCAGAAGTTTATGTCGCTGTGGTCATGCACGTTCGGGCAGAATTGCAACGCTAGGAGACCGTAAGGTTGCGTGCTCAACAGATTAATATTCTCGTCCTTACTAAGTTTGTTCCACACATGAACTCCGAAGCTAGAGTTCATCTGGTTCATAATTTCATAGACATCTGTTGATGAGAACAAAGACTTCCACTGAGGGTAACTGAACGGGGCGAAGTTGATCTCAGGCAAAACTTTCAGGCCGCTACATCGGTCTGGGTTCATCTCTTCAACCTGTCACGAAAATAAATACAATTAAACTCGAGTGATCAAATTTGTTAAGACTGCGTCAGAAGTTTCTCTAAAAAAAATAATAAAAAAATACTTCTGTAATAATTACCTAAAGCTACCTCAACATATAGTTTGACTTTTTATACAGCTAAAAATATGTTGACCTAAAATAGATAGAAAGATAAGAAGGTTTAAAATAATTGTAAATAATAATATAATAGATTATCTTCGCTGTCAACTGGGCGTTGATAGAAAGCATGACCTACAAAACAGACACGCATACAAGTCTGAGAACATTTGTGCGATATGAGTTCCGTCGTTCGTTTTAGGAGCTAGTTTGTTAATTAATGAAGGGACCAGCTTATGTTTCGTAACACCAGACACAAGTAACTTATCAGCAGACACGAAGTCGAAGTCATATTTGGGCAGGTCTGAACGAGACTGGAAATGTGAAATCCACACCCGAATACACAGTTTCCACACGAGTTCCTTGCAAATTTTTAATTCGGAATGCTACTAGCTGTTAGAAGTCGGCTATATGTGATGAACATCTTAACATATACATCTAATAAACACATAAGCAATGTTAAATAGGGCTACATTTTTAAATATAATGTTTTATGCTGAAGATGTTATTAATTCAATTCAGTTCATTTATTTAAGTGCTTGACAACAGCCAACAGCCAGTCCAAAATAAAATACTTATATAATTAAATTCATTTCAATAATAATAAAAGTAAAATATTACAAATACAAAAACAAACAAATGAAACTAAATATATAAATGTACCATATTAATAATAAT